TCCCCACCTTTCAAAAAACTGTTAATTTGCTTTAATGTTAAAAAATTTATAAAATTTTTTTATTTTTTTCCCCTTTTTCCCCTTTCCCCTGGGGGGGCCACCACTGTTTAAAAATTAAAATTTTTCAATTTAAAAACCCCAACCATCACTTTTGGTAAATTTTCTTAAGGGAAGGCCCTTATTTTATAATTTTTTTAATTTTTTTTTTTTTTTTATTTTTGAATCAAGTGTGAGAGTAATGGTGGTTGGGGATTTCAATGCTAAAGTGGGTAAAAATGTTATGGAGGGAGTAGTAGGTAAATTTGGGGTGCCAGGGGTAAATGTAAATGGGGAGCCTTTAATTGAGCTATGTGTAGAAAGAAATTTGGTAATAAGTAATACATATTTTATGAAAAAGAGGATAAATAAATATACAAGGTATGATGTAGCACGTAATGAAAGTAGTTTGTTAGATTATGTATTGGTGGATAAAAGGTTGATGGGTAGGCTCCAGGATGTACATGTTTATAGAGGGGCAACTGATATATCAGATCATTATTTAGTTGTAGCTACAGTTAGAGTAAGAGGTAGATGGGAAAAGAGGAAGGTGGCAACAACAATTAAGAGGGAGGAGAAAGTGTATAAACTAAGGGAGGAGGAAGTTCGGGCAAGATATAAGCGACTATTGGCAGAAAGGTGGGCTAGTGCAAAGATGAGTAGTGGGGGGGTTGAAGAGGGTTGGAATAGTTTTAAAAATGCAGTATTAGAATGTGGGGCAGAAGTTTGTGGTTATAGGAGGGTGGGGGCAGGAGGAAAGAGGAGTGATTGGTGGAATGATGAAGTAAAGGGTGTGATAAAAGAGAAAAAGGTAGCTTACGAGAGGTTTTTACAAAGCAAAATAATTATAAGCCACACACTCGCACACAAGACAAGCTTGATGAATGGGGATAATAGCAGTTATATGAAAGTATCTAGTGACTATATATATGTGTATATATATTATATATATATGTTGTGTATCTTTATACGTATATGCTTCTAAACTGTTGTATTCTGAGCACCTCTGCAAAAGCAGTGATAATGTGTGCGTGTGGTGAAAGTGTTGAATGATGATGAAAGTATTTTCTTTTTGGGGATTTTCTTTCTTTTTTTGGGTCACCCTGCCTCGGTGGGAGACGACCGACTTGTTGAAAAAAAAAAAAAAAAATAATAATAATAATAAAAATAATAACAATCACTCTGGAGTGCTTTAAATGTCAGCTACCAAATGTACACGTGTGACATTAAGGCACCCCAGAGTGATTATTAATTATATTTTTTTATTAATTATTATTATTATTATTATTATTATTATTATTATCACCAACGACATACCTTGTTCACTGAATTTAATCCTTTCTTAATGAAACTGCCATGAGAGACTGAGAATGTAAACAAAAGAACACACCAGCTAACCCTTTTACTGTGAACTTCTTTTGTACTTCTTCCATTTTCCTCTCTTTCCTTTTCCAAGTGCTGCTGCACTTCTATCTTGTACTATGGGGTGCATAATCAAGTACAAATTTGTAAAAATATGGATTTTGTAAAAATATGGATGAGAGGAGTGGTGTTAGGAGGCAAGAACTTCACTGTTATAAAACTCAACCCACAGACAATTGTATACCAAGTGTGGAGGATGAGCAGGAGCATTGTCCAGTACCAGGAGGCACTTGTGGCAATTTATTTTCCTGGAGGTATTTTTTCACACTCGGGCCAAACACTTCATGGACCCAGTCAATGAAAATTTGCTTTGTGACCCACACCATATTATTAGCTTTCCACAATACACACAATTCACTCTTGACGAGATTGTTTTTCTTGAACACACTGGGATTTTCAGAGTGATAAGCAAGTAAAGACTTCACTTTAAAATCCCCACTAGCATTACCACAGAACAAAAGATAAAGCCTATCCTTCATAAGCTTATGTCCTGGCAGTGCCTTTTCCTCCTGCATGATGTAGGTCCTCTTTGGCATTTTCTTCCAAAGGAGGCCTGTTTCATCACAAATGAACACTTGTTGGGGGAGGAATCCTTCAGCCTCTACATACTTCTTGAATTCATGCATGAATTCTTCAGCTGCACAATTGTCTGAACTTGCAGCCTCATCATCCCTTACAACACTGTATATGCCACTATGTTTCTTAAATCTCTCAAACCAGTCTTTGCTGGCCTTAAATTCACTAACAGCAGCACTCGTTCCAGGTATTTTCTTTACGAGATCCGCAGGCAATTGCCTTACCTTTTCACAAATGATTGACTCCACAACACTATCTCCCGCTAATTGTTTATCGTTGATCCAAACCATCAATAATTTCTCCACATTTGGTCATCTTTATTTCGTCAGCATATTTACCCCTTTCATAACATTAGCTTCCTTGATTTCTACTTTCTTTGCCAGGTAGGAAGCGATTGTTGATTTGGATTTCCCATACATCCTGGCAAGGTCCAGGACACGCACACCACTCTTGTACTTTGCTACAATTTCTTTCTTGAATTCTATCATGTTTCTCACTTTCTTTACCAAAGGGCTGGCACTAGGAACTTTCTTTGGGCCCATGGTGGCTTGTTTCACAGTTGCACTCAAACAACCACAAAAAACAATGGATTATAACAAAATGTTTGGATGAATGTGCAGAGTCTTGTTCACTCACCCAGAGACATAGCCAGATTGACTCACAAACGTGGAGGAGTGGTGGGTGGACGCGTCCAATACGGGCGATTTCCGAGTTGCCGACCAAAATCCAGGACAGAATTTCGGCCAAAAAAGCGGCCAAAACCCGAATTGGCCAATATCTGAGGGTCCACTGTACAGTGGAACACCAAGTTTTGGCTGTAATTCACTCCAGGAGCTAGGCCTAAAGTCGAAATGGCCTAAAGTCGAAGCAATATTTCCCATAAGAAATAATGTAAATCCAATTAATCTGTTCCACCCAAAAATATCCCCAAAAAATTCATTTAAAGAATAAATACTATAGTTTTACATACAGACAACAATGAGAAATAAATATGAGAGAGGCAGGAGAGTTTGTTTGGAGGCAGGACTAGATAATCCTTCAATATGACACTAATATCACAATTCATCTAATATGACATAAACAATATTAATAACAAAGAAACATGATATATACTTTAGAATGAATAAAATACGTCATTACGTATGTCACGACTGGTGTTGTGTTGTTGGGTGTATAAGGGCCACTGAGAGCATAAGCATAAGTGGCAGCAGAGGCAGCGGTGTTGTCAGTCACCCTATACTGTATACCTCAAACAATGGATGAGTTAATTTTCACATTGTTATTTTTCTATCACTCAATCACTTAACTTACTTGCTACACTGTTAACGCTACACTTAATCGCTGGCTGATATTTACTGACTCGTGCTGCTGTAGTATCATACATATCGTAGAATCACTGAAGAAGGCACATTCTCCTCTCTCACTTCCTCCTCCTCTTTGGTACTTTGCTACAATATCTTTCTTGAATTCTATCATGTTTCTCACTTTCTTTACCAAAGGGCTGCCACTAGGAAGTTTCTTTGGGCCCATGGTGGCTTATTTCAGTCACAATCAATAAACAAGCATTAAACACAATGAATTTACTGTGAAATGTTTGGATGAGTATGCAGGGTAATGTTCACTCAAGGATAAACAAAGCTACACTGGCTCACAATGCCTGCACAGGCAGGCGGACAGGTCTGGTACACTGGCCGAAACACGGGGCACAGGGCAAAACTTGGGACAAAATTTAGCCGAAAAAATCGGTTGATACTCAGGGTGGCCAAAACTCTGGATTCCACTGTATATGGGAAATTCTTCTCCATAGGAAAGTCGAACAGAATTCTTCCTCCATAAGCCATGCATGTCGTAAGAGGTGACTAAAATGCCAGGAGCAAGAGGCCAGTAACCCCTTCTCCAGTATACATTATTGAAGTTAAAAAGAGAAACTTTCGTTTTTGTTTTTGGGCCACCCTGCCTCGATGGGATGCGGCTGGTTTGTTGAAAGAAGAAGATGGTAAAAATACAATAATGTATCACGAGTAGAGTTATGGCAACACTTATAAACGAGTGTGACATCCTTTATACTAACATTATGTATGAGTGTGATACATCATCTTTTATACCAACACAATGAACAAATGTGAGGCATCATCTTTCATATCATCACAAAGTACAAGTGTAAGACATCTTTTAAATATTGTTTCAAAGAGAAGGTTAAAAGCAATGGAGACACTGAGGTCAATGTATGGTATGAATATTATGCAGTAGAGAATAAACAATATAATGTACTACAAGTTATAATACATGGAGCAAAAGAGGGGCTCTAGCAATGGTCTGGTTATTTAGAAATGAAGAAGCAAGACAGGTTGACCTTGTGGGTGTATAATGCTAGGGGGGAGAGAGGGAAGATGTGCCAGGCAATGTTCCAGGAAGGGTGGTAAGGTGTAAGCATCCAGCAAGCATTTGTGAGTGTCTGGGTGTATGCGTGTGCGAGCATCTGTCTGTATGTGTTTGTTTTAGCAAAGTGAGTGGAAACAAGTGGCTTTTGGGATTTGACATTCTCTCAAATGCAAGCAGGATAATATCTATGAAAGAACTTTGGGGAACTTGAGACCTGGTGGTGGAAAGGACAGAATCTACATTTTGAAGGCTGGGTGTAAATGTTGGATTTCCTTTTTCTGGTTGACATGTGTGGTACAAAACTGCTAATATATTCACCAAATTGAATAAACCATTGTAATCATTATATTAAATCAGTGTTCCACTTAATTACAGCTTCACTTTACATTATTTACTGCTAATCATAATGCTAAGTAGCAACTTGCAACAATGCTCACTTCATGTATTTACTTTTCAGATTATTAAATTTCCAAGAAAATGAAGCTTTCTTATATGGTTTTAAATCCCAATTAATATTTTTAAAAAATAATGCTAGTACCTTGAGTGTAGCTCAAGTACATGAAGAGTTATTGCTGTACACTTACTTAATGTTTGTGGTTTTTTAGTAGGAGGAACATCCATCAAGTCTAGGAAGTCATCATCGTCATTAAGCTCTGCGGCATCTTCCAACTCATCACCAGAACTGTTTTCTTCCCCCGTTTCCATTAACGTCTGTTAAATAGGAAAATACATAAATAAAAAATAAACATGTAGGATTGCAGAGAAATGAGGAGGATCTAGGAAAGGTAGGGGATATGCAGATCAAGTGTTTACATTGAAAAATATAAGTGAATAATACTTAGATGAAAGTACTGTAAGGATACTTTTGTAAAGTAAAAAGGACACAAGTGCAACTAATGTGACATTTTATTGTGGCAACGTTTCGCTCTCCAGAAGCTTTGTCAAGCAGTTACGAACAGTACATGGACACATAGGGTATATATAGGCTCAGAGTGAGGTGCAATACTAGTGGTAGAAGTAGTAGTAGTGATATTATTATTAGTAGTAGTAGTAGTAGTAAAACAATCAAATCAAAGTTTATTCCCTATAAGGATTACAAAGCAGGGTTTACAGATTTTGGTTATTGTGTGGCTTACATGTAGTAAAATAATAATTACAGAGGGGGCCACTAGAACACCTAGCATGGCTAGGCATTTCGGGCAAACTTAGATTAATTCTTAACGCTAAATTATAACAATTTGTGGAGTAAGTTGACTAAATACTAAGTGACAAATACTAGTTTGTGAGTTTAGCAATGTGAATGCTTTTGTTTTGGCACAATACATAGTTTCTATATTGGAGTATCACAGGCAAACTTATGACTAGTTAGGAATCATTATTTTAGGATTAGGATACGTATTTCTGTGCTTATGGTCAAATGGGTGAGTGAGTGAGTGTAAGTGTGAACCACCAGGTGGTTTTTATGTAGTTAGTTGATGGGGTGTATCAGGGAGATAAGATGTTTTCTCACAGTAGTTTTGAAGGTGATGAATGTGTCTGCTGTTCTAGAGTTTTCAGGTAGTGTGTTCAGATTTTAGGGCCTTTGACATACATTGAGTTTTTGTAATGGGTTAGTCGGACACAGGGAATGTCGTAGAGATGTTTGTGTCTGGTGTTATGCCTGTGGGTCCTGTCACAACTATCAAGAAAGAATTTTAGGTCAAGGTTAATATTGGAATTTAAGGGCCTGTATATGTAGATTGCACAGTAGTAAGTTTGGATGTTCTGAACAGGGAGTAAGTTTAGATCTATGAAGAGTGGGGGGGGGGGGGGTGTTGCCAGGGATGGGAATTAGTGATTATTCTTATTGCAGCTTTTTGTTGAGTTATTATTGGCTTTAAGTGTATTGCTGCAGCTGATCCCCAAGCACAAATAGCAGAGGTGAGGTATGGATAAAAGAGTGAATGGTATAGTGTGAGAAGGGCATTTTGCAGCACGTAGTATCATATCTTGGAGAGGATCCCAACTGTTATGGATACTTTTTTTGATGTGTGTTGGATATGGGTGCTGAAATTCAGGTTGTTGTCAAGGTATAGACCTAGGAATTTGCTCTCATTATGTCTGGCAATTAGAGTGCTGTCAATCTAATGTTAAGTTGTGCAGCACCTGCTCTGCTACCAAACATAATATAGTAGGTTTTGTCAGTGTTAAGTGTAAGTTTATTGGCTGTCATCCAAGTTGATATTTTGAGCAGCTCCTCATTAACAATGGTGTTGAGGGTGGCAAGATTAGGGTGAGAGATGACATAAGTCGTGTCATCAGCAAAGGAAATGGGTTTCAGGTGTTGGGATACGTTTGGAAGATCACTGATGTAAATGAGGAAGAGCAGGGGTCCAAGGACACTTCCCTGTGGAACTCCAGTATCAAGTGGCCATGTTGATGATGCTGTGTCTTTAATGGTGACATACTGATACCTATTAGAAAGGTAGGATTTGAAATATGCAAGCGCATGGCCTCTTATACCATAATGGTCAAGTTTGTGGAGTAGGATGCCATGGTCTACTGTGTCAAAAGCTTTTCTTAGGTCAATTATTATTATTATAATCAAAGAGAAGTGCTAAGCCACAAGGGCTATACAGCGCTGCAGGGTAGGGAAGGAAGCGAGGGTATTGGGCGGCAGAAGGGAGGAGGGATGATCAGTAGGTTACAGAAAACAGCGGGGAAGGGGACAGTACGGGCGTAGAGGGTAGCAAGAGATTGAGGTAGCAATTGCTGAAGGTATCAGAATTTGTGAAGTCAGTCAGTTGTTGTCAAAAAGTCAATGAGAGAGTCCGGATGAAAGGTGGGTCCATCAGCAAGAAGGGAAGGTAGAGAGAGAGCAGTGGAGTGAAGACGACGACGGAGGTAAATTCTGCGTGCTCGTTGATAAAGTGGGCAGTCCAACAGAATGTGGCTGAGTGATAATGGAGCCTGGCAATTCTCACAGAGAGGAGCAGGGCGCCTCTCCATGAGATATCCATGAGTAAGACGAGTATGGCCAATGCGAAGACGGGAGAGAGTAGTCTCCCAACCTCGACACTGGTGATAAGAAGACGGCCAGTAACCTATACTCGGTTTAATAGATTGAAGTTTGTTACCAAGCATAGTAGACCAACGTTGTTGCCAACGGGTGTGAAGGTGGGAAGATATTGCAGCAAAATAGTCCATAAATGGAATACCTCTATATGAAACTGGTAGGTCATGTACTGTTGACCGCGCAGCAGTGTCTTCCTGTTCATTGCCCTGTACGTCAACATGACCAGGGACCAACAAAAAACAATATCTTTATGCTTGGTAAAGATGCGGCGTAGCCAAAGTTGGATACGGAGGACTAAGGGTTGAGGTGTATCAAATTTCTGTATAGCCTGTAAAGCACTAAGGGAGTCCGAGACAACCACATATGATGACACAGGCATAGATGCAATATGGATAAGTGCTGCAAGGATGGCATACAATTCAGCAGTAAAAATACTAGCCGAAGATAGTAAATGCCCTCATATGATGCTGTCCGGAAACACTGCTGCGAATCCTACGCCGTCAGAAGACTTAGAGCCATCTGTGTACACAGCAATGGCATGAGAATGAGAGTGGAAGTGGTCAAGAAAAAGAGAGCGGGAAGCGACCGTAGACAGTTGGGCTTTCGAGCAAGGGAGAGAGAAAGAACAGACTCAAAAAAGGGAACTTCCCAGGGGGGTAGGGAAAAGTGAGATGCTACATGAACATAGAAAGGTGGTAATTGAAGAGAAGATGAGCAAATGAAGGTGAAGAGAGAAGGGATGGAGTAAACAGGGGTGGCGAACAAATAAAGAATGTCTACTAATATCAGTGACCATTCTATAAATGGAAGGATTGCGGAGATCATGAGAGCATACATAGTAGCGAAGGCAATGGGCATCACGGCGATTGGATAAGGATGGAACATTCGCTTCTGCATAGAGGCTCTCAACAGGGGAAGAGCAAAAAGCACCAAGGCATAAACGTAATCCTAGGTGATGAATGGGGTTAAGGCTAGAGAGAGTAGCAGGAGATGCTGCTGAATACATCTGGTCACCATAATCAAGTTTCGATAAAATGAGGGTGGAATGTAGGTGAAGGAGGGTTCGACGATCAGCTCCCCAAGAAAAATGAGCAAGGGTTTTAAGAAGGTTCAGCCGGCTGTGACAAGTTGCCTTCAGAGAGGTAATGTGAGGTTTCCAGGATAACCTACGGTCAAAGAGGAGGCCCAGAAACTTGACTGTATCACGTTCAGGGATACGGGAGCCATAGAGGTACAAAAGTTGATCGGAGATGACAGAGCGTCTATTGCAAGTAATTTGGTGGGTTTTAGTGCTGGAAAATTTAAACCCATGTGTGGTGGCCCAATTGGAAACACGGTCGACCGCATGCTGGAGAGAAACTGTAATGAGGCAACAGTCAGCGCCTGCACAGGCAATAGCGAAGTCATCAACATAGAGTGATGACCAAATATTGGGTGGAAGAACAGAGGCCAAATCATTAATAGCAAGGAGAAAGTGTTGTGCTCAGAACACATCCCTGGGGGACACCTTCAGCTTGGATAAAGTCCGGGGAGAGCACATTATTAACCCGAACACGGAAATGTCTATCAGTTAAAAAGTTCTTAAGGAAGGATGGTAGATTGCCTCGGAGGCCTAAGGAGTGGGCTTGGGCCAAAATATTATACCTCCAAGTTGTGTCATATGCCTTCTCAAGGTCAAAAAATATGGCAATAACTGAGTGGTTATTCGCAAAGGCATTACGAACATACGTATCCAAGCGTAGTAAGGGGTCTATGGTAGAACGTCCCTTGCGAAAGCCATATTGACGAGTGGAGAGACTGTTGTGTGTCTCTAAATACCACACTAAACGTCTATTTACCAGGCGTTCCATCACTTTGCAAACTGCACTGGTAAGAGCAATGGGACGATAGCAGGAGGCTTCATGTCCCGTAGTGCCTGGTTTGCGGAAAGGGAGAACAATGGCAGATTTCCACAGCTGTGGAAGAACTCCTTGTGACCAAATAAGATTGAAAAGGCGTAATAGGACTGCAAGGGCTGACTGATGTAAATGTTGTAGCATACGAATATGAATGTCGTCGGGCCCAGCTGCCAATGATCGGCAAGCTGAGTGTGTTGCCTCCAGTTCTTAAGTGTAAAAGGCACATTATACTGTTCTTCTCTGAGAGAAGAAAAGTCCAAGGGTGCTAACTCTCTGGCAGACTTTGAGGAAAGAAACGAGGGGCATAGATGGAGCCCCTGAGAAATACGGACCAGATGATTGCCAATTTCATTGGCAACATCTAGTGGGTTTGCTATATCAACACCGGCAACCCGCAGAACAGGAGCCGGGTCAGGGGAATATTTACCACTCAGTTTTCGTACTTTTTTCCAGACTGCACTCATTTCATCATTGCTTAGTTAATCTTAAGTTAATTTTAAGCCAGCCCGTAATGCTATGCATATAAGTGGCTTTGGCATGCTGCTCTTACCTGTATTTTTTTTGTACCTCTGTATGTATGCTAAAATTTCTAAATAAATAAATAAATAGAGGAAGCAGAGGTGATGGTGGAGACATAATCTTGCCAGCAAGTGCGTTTAGCATCACGGATGACACGGCGAGCGATCGCATGCTTCTGCTTAAAATCAAGAAGTCTCTCCGTGGTTCTATTGTACCGGTACCTGCCCCATGCAGCACGT